TTAACATTAAAGACATTACTTATATAGTATAGTAATAGTAATGTTGCTTGTTAACATCTAATAACCTTTTGAAGGACTGAGTAGTCCAGATCTGTCTCTTACTCTGGTGCAGTATATATGAAATCGTGAAAGTTTCCTTAAAGGGGATCCCAGACAGGCTGAACCAGAGTAAGACAGGATCCTGACTCCTCAGTCCCTCAAAAGGTTAAGACGTTAACAAGCAACATTACTTATTTGTCAACTTTTACATTTTCACTAGTATTCCTGGCAAGATTAGTCATCATTGGTGAGAATTGGCTTGCCACCACATGGTGATTTAAGGAACGTCTACATACGAGAAAATATCCTTATACTCCAGAGGGTTACAGGAAAAGGGATGTATTTTAAGACAATGAAGGCAGCCTATATTGATAATACTTGTTGATTTATTGATTATATTCAAAGGACATTTATTTGGTCCCTGAATCTGGAATAATGTACAATTTACAGGCAAAGCCGAACAATTTTCACGGGACTTTTCATCTACAGATATGCTTTGGTCTGCTTTACTCTTCACTGATTGTCACGCCTTTTTTAAAAAACGCATGAATTTCGCACGTTTTTTTAATATGGATAAAATGACCCCTCCTTTTCTCGGTTCGCTGAACGCCAGCCACCGCTCTTAAAGATTTAATAAACTATGAATGTTTCATTCCATGTAAGGGAAGTAAGCCAACTAACTGGATCTTTTTTAATTAATTTTTTGCAAAAAAAAAATAACAAAGGCTAACACTGGCCTCTGAATAGCCCAGAGCGAAAAATGGATTTTGGTGATTGAACAGGTTAAAAAAAGATGTTCAATCACCAAAATCGACCAATGGTTTCCAGAGAAAAGGCAAAAACGGCAATTTCCACCAAAATCACCTCAGAGGTGGAGTTTCTTTTTGCTAAACCTCTCTAAAAAGCTCAAATGTCACTGGTTTTCCATCAATCCTGATACAGGGTACTTATTATATGTTGTACTTTGGATTCCTAAAGCTTTTAGTCTACCTCACCATCATCCAAGGTTAGTTTTCACTATAAATAAAAAAGGATTTCTGGACGGACACTATAATTTACAGTTTTTTACTATGTTCAATCTGAATTTTCTTTAAAATAAAAAACATCTATATTGATTCTGACTCTTCTACATCCAACTCACAGGTTTATCTTTACTTTGAGAAAAAGATTATTAATTTAACCTCTTTAGAAGGGAAGATATGGTCATTTGTTCTGGGAATGTCATTTTCGAGCCTGAAACCTGAAAAAACAGGCTCAGGGTTTAAAAGAATAAAGATATTTTTGTTCTCTAAACGTTTGACCTCTTTCTTTTACAATTTTGGAATCGAAACGGGGAATCGATAAGAACCGGAATCGATAAGCAGAACCGGAATCGGAATCGATACATTTCAAACGATACCCATCCCTAGTTATTTACCTGCCTGTCTTCTGAAACAAACAAGAACATATTTACTTACTTTGCAACCTTGGCCATGCAGTCCATGTTGTATCTGGCTATCTGCTCTGGCATCGAGCTACACACCGCCAGCTTCAGCTTCAACAGCGGCGTCCGTAGGCGATCGTCCTGAGGGACTCAGAAAGGGAGGTTGAGTTGAGAACAGAGGCCAAAACGGAGGAACAGGAATAAAAGTAAAGACAATAAAAAAAATAAAAAAATGGGAAGAAAAAGAGGTCAGAGTGAGGAGGGAAGAGAAAACGAGAAGAAAAAAAGAAGAAACAGATAAACAAATGAGAAGAAAAGAGAAGGGCATGTGGGAGTGTTGATCCATTTCATGAACAAAGCTACTTTAATGTTGCGTGACAAAAGAATATAGAGAATCAGTTGAAGACAACAGGAGCTGAAGAAAGAGCAGTGAGCTAGAAGGAAGCACTTGGAACATGTTGTTGCTTATAAATTAATAGTCACGGATCACGAGACTACAACAAAGCTAGTTATTTGTTACTGTTTTGTTCATGAATCTGGCTTTTGCTGATCACAGTGTAATCAAAGAGGAAGAAAGACCTTTTCAAAAGGGATCTGAGATCAGTTATTTGGGGGATTTCTCACTTCCTCCACAGATAAGCCTCACTCACCTGGATGTTGAGACTGAGCTTCTTCAGGCGTTTGAGGAGGGCTTCTTTGTTGCACGGCACAAATGCCTCCATGTGCGAGTAGATGCCGAGGCGCACCTCAGGAGGCTGCTCCTGGACCTGCAGCTCAATGCTGAGAGGATGAGAGAAAGGAGAACAAAATCACAATTGAGATACAGGATGGACAGTTACTGTTACTGTTAGGATACAGAGAGTCAGAATAAACAAGAGATGGGAGATTAAAGCAATGGATGGAGAAGAGTGGACACACTGAGGGGGTGGTGAAAGTAAGCGAGGTATGGAAATGAGAAGCATGACATTAACACACAAAATGAGAGACGGAAGGAAAAACAAAACACTTAAAGACAGCAGGAGAGGTGGCGAGGGAAACGGTCTGAAACTGAGTGAGAAACACTGGAGGAGAGGAGGAGAGTGAGCTGGCATTTAGCTGAGGGTGATTTAAAAGCCATCCTACTCACTCCAGGAGAATGTTATTCATGTCCAAGGTGAAGAATTTCTTCCTGCCCTCTTGATCAAACTGCCGCGAGGCCTGTGGGAGAAATGTTGAGTCAGCACCCTGTACCAGCACTCTTTCATACAGAACAAATATATATAAATGCATAGACGTATCTGTGATGCTGTGCTCTCTCAGACACAAACAGTTTCTCCTCTACCTGATGCTGTTCTTCATATGGCTCTCATTTTAACGATTATCTTCTAAGGATGCTTTTACACTTGTTGAATTTGTTTGCCCATTCATTTGAAAGCTCTGAAATAGCCCTATATATGCTATTGCTCTATGCTGCCACACAACATCTGAATGAACTCTTGGTTCCTTCCATTTTAATTCAAAGTTAAACTACCTTTAATAATTTCTAGAAAACCTCTTTGTTGAAAACTAATGTTGAACCTTTCAAAATGTCTGAATAGCTATGCTGATTTTGAAAGCAACAAAAAAAAGGTATGCCCTTTATGTATTTATCTTCCCATCTACTTGGCTCTGTCTGCCTCTCTTTAAACTTTACCAACATCTAAAACAACAGGGCCCTGCTATGGATTGACTTTGAGGCTGTGAGATATAAAGGCAAGAAGAAAATAAGAACTTCTTCAGAGTCAGTTCTGCCCAGCCACACTGTTTTCGTTACTTAAAAAGCTTCAAGGTTCAGCCTGGAGCTATGTTTCTCCAATGCTTTGGAATAGACTATTCTCGTTGGACTAAACAATCACAGTAAGCATTTTGTATAACTTCCTGAGCTAACGGGCATTTGTGTTAAACTTCAGTGAGGAGAATTCACAGGCAATTGCAGCTACCCACAGACAGGCTAGAGTTGACTCACCGCCCGCAAGTCCTCGATGCGTTTAATAAGAGGAGCAGGCAGTCCATCCGGCAGCGGAGGCGGAGAAAACAGACCGCTGGAGGAACCCGGGCCTCGCCCCTGGCCCCCCCCTCCCCCTCCCCCTCCTGCTGCTGCTGCTGCTGCTGCTGGTGGTGGTTTAGGACCAGGAACCCCGACTCCCAGAACACCATTCTCCCGAGCTGCAGACATAGCGTGCTGCTGGTCAGAATCCAACACGCTGAAGTCCAGGTCGCCTAAGAGATCCTGCAGCTCCTTCTCATTGGCCGAGCCCAGCAGTGACATCACGGCGGGGTCCGAGGTGAGGTCTGCCAGTGAGAAGTCGCTGCCGGCTGTGTTGTGGGTGGAGTTCGAGGCCAACAGGTGGTTGGTTGAGTTGATGGAGGGTGGCTTGTTTGCCACACCTCCTGTCAGAACGGGGTGAGCCACGTTCGGGTTCATTTTCATCATGTCCTCCTTCTCCCGGGTGAAGCGGCGGAGCATGGCCGCCAGGTACAGCGAGTCCTTCATCAGCTTCTTCCTCTTCTTCTTCTCAGGCCGCTGGAGGGTGAGGTCTGTGACTCTGTCGGAGGAAAGAACAGTGATGCCTTTTTTTTAGCAAAATGCTTCTGATGTTGTAAATGTAGCTTTTTTTTGTCTAAGGCTATCTAGGTAAAAAATTATCCACATGTGTAGGACTGCTCGGTAAGCTCTGATTGGTTGACTAAATCACCATAAACTGGCACAAAAGAGTTTGAGATTGACATTTTAATAAGGCAACAAAGACTACTTCAATTAAATTGAAGAGGGAAAGAGACGTGGGTCGCTGGAGGTAAAAAGAGCAGGATAATGAATAAATTAAACTCATGCTACATAAAAGACATTTCAGTGGCAAACTGAGGCATGGACACACGCTGTCAGAGACGACTTTGAAACGTTGGGAAAGGTACTGTGGGGATTCTGCAGGATTAACCTGCTGTCTGCTCTGAAAGATCTGACACACAGACTCATATATAACAATCTGTTTCATAATGGCACAATGGCAATAGCTACTGCTATTTTTGGACATTATTTTCAGAGTGGCGGCATTATGGAGTATTAAGCCTATCTGAGCGTGCCGTGTTTTCTGGAAGGTGTCTGGCTGTCACAGTCAGCATCCCTTCCTCATGATAGATGTATGAGAGAGGATCCGCACAAAAGCACAGGACTATAATGTCCCACAGGGTGGTGGATTATTAGCACGGAGACGACCGGACAAAATGCGTCATCACATATTCACTGTGGCCAACAAATCCATGGGTGTCCAAAAGGTCAACTTTTCCAGCTAAGGAGAACAACTAAGCCATTTACACAACAGGGTGTGTGTGACAGAGACAGTGCAGCTTGTGGAGGTTCACATGATACATTTACATATATTCGGCTGATTAATAAACATAAACCAAAAATGTGCAGGAATATTATACCGCCATGATTCTCACCCTTGTTTAGGTAGTTGATTCTTCTTCTGGTTCTTCTCTTCTGAACTGTCCACTTCCTTCTTTTTCCTCTTCTTGATTAAATTCTCGTTGTTGTCGTTAGTCTTCTGAAATAAGAGCACAGCAAGCCATGGATAAATAATTATGTATTCCTGCATCTTTACTAGTTTTAGTTTAGGAATTGAGTATTATCCTTGACATCTCTTATAGTATTATGTCATGTCTGTTTCTGACTGTGTCAAATCCACATATTTGCAGGCTTGAAAGTAACTTTCAGACACTGAATAATTAATAATACATTCTTTGTGTTATGGACATGTTAGTCTCACCTTGCCCTCCTCTCCCTCAGAGTCGGAGGCAGCTCTGAACTGCAGCGTGCCAGTGTTGATGTAAAACCCCCCCAGCTTTGTGGTCAAAGAGGCAGGAACCAGCTCATCATACTGAGAGAAAAACACACAAGTTGAAGGATAAGATCAGATGAATCTAGAAAAAAAACCTAGATCCTATTACAAACAAAAGCGAATGACGTGATAATGTTTCTTGTTAAGATTTTAAAAATTAGCCCAGGCTCTTCTGTTGGTCAGTGAAAATTCATGACTTGTTGTTCACAAAAAAACCCAAAGAGAAACAAAAATCCCAATCTCTCCAAGACACAGATGAAAGTGTTTTTCATCAGAGACTGAGAGAATATAAAAACTAAAGGAAAAAAGTATCTAACAGGCACTGCCAATTTATGGGTGCAGATAGGACAGTTATCGAAACAAAACACAAATATCATATTATGGCAGAGACTCGATACAAGAGCATAATTCCAGCTATTACAGTCGGACAGAGTGATATCCTCAGCATAATACTGAGTAACAAACACTGTCCAACCTCAACAATGACATATCCCTTTGAGGACACAAGCCGCACGTACGTATTCATGAGTCATGAGGATGGTTTTAGACCGTAGTCACAGATTGCTTGTATGAAGGGACAAGCGGCTATCTTTAGAAGTGCCACTGAATGCAATGTATTGGAGCGACAAGCCACGAAATAAATATTTAACCACAGGGGAATAACAACAAGACCGCAAATCAGGAATGTGACTAGGACAGCAGGTTAAATCAGCAGTTAATAAGGGAGAAAATAAAAACAATGTGTAATGGTGCAACTATAAAGACTTAAGAGAGACGTCTGACTAAATAAAAGTGTCATCCCCGGACAAACAAACAAAAAACCGCAGGTGAAAAATCACCTCATTATTAATAAAGTGAGGAGCACTTACAGCTTCTGAGTTGTCAATAAAGGGGTCTGCGTCGTCGTAGCCAAAGCCTATATCAATCAAATCTTGCATTCTGTCCTTCTTCTTCTTCTTTTCCTCATTACCCTGAAAAATTATTAAAAAGTATAATGTTATTTTAAGTTTTAGATGACATAAAAAAAACGTTTTGTTGTTTTTAAATTGCTATTTAAGTACATAAACCCAAATCAGAAATATATAAGCTGACTGAGGGGCTTGTTAAAATGATATACTTTTATAATGATTGGCCGGTAGTGTACGTCCGAAGATCAGTATAAAAAAATAGCAGAAACAGAAACTTTCTATAACAATCATATTTAACTCCGCTGCTAACCATGTGTTTCCCTTTCTTCCTGTTTCTCACAGCTGAACAACTGTTGAGCTGAGATTAGCCATATTAATTACATTTACCATGACACTGGTTTTCCTCCAAAGACATTTGAAAAGTAGTTTTTTAAACTGCAAACCATCTCTGTCGTCTCAGTTTATGTATGTGGTCATCAACCAAATATATCATCATCTGATTGTTTTACTAAACTAAATATCTGTAAGGTTATAAGGCTAAAAATATCAAATTAGAAACACTCACATATTTATTTTCCAACTTTTTTGCCAGGGCCTCGACCTGCAGCCGCACTCTCTCGTCATCGTTGAAGGGGTCGTTGGGATTGTTGGCAGAAGTCAAACTTTGAGTTGTCTTTTTCGCCTGGAAAATAAAGTGAAACTTAATATAAATAATCAGATGTCAGAGCTATGATTAGACAGTTTCAATGCATCTCACTCTATAACGCAACCTGACTATGTTATAAGCTCAAATAAAAGTTAAGTACAATCAGTTAAATATCCCTCACAGTCAGAGGTGGGAGAAGTACTCAGATCTTGTACTTAAGTAAAGGTAGAAGCACCATCATTTAGGAATACTTTGTTACAAGTGAAAGGCATGCCGTCAACATGTTACTTAAGTTTTAGCATCAAAATATATTTAAACTACCAAAAGTACTCATTATGCTGATTGGTCAAAAAGTAAAGTACTTGAGTAAATCTACTTAAGTTACTTTACACCACTGATCTCAGTAATCGCAACAATCATAACATATGCCAAACATGGCGCTGGTATAGTCGGAATTAGAATTATGAAATCCTATTCCGCTTTGCAAACTTTTTCTCATCCAATTCCCACTCATGTAAACCATAATAATAGCAACAGAATCTATCATCCCAGACTGCAGAGATTCAAAATGAGGGAAGCTCCTCTGACATTTGCCTTCCTCCCATGCTACATCCTGGTACTTCCATCAGCAATGCTCTATCATCTATCTATCACCCGCAGCCAGAGGGCCAAACTGCATGTGGCATTTCCAAGTGCTGTAATGGCTGTGTGACTGGGCTGTTGCTGGGCAAGTTGGAGTGAATAGGACACAGGTAGCAGCACAAGATAAGCTTCATCTCTACATGTTTAAAAAGAGGAGTTCCCTCGATGAAAAAAAAGCTACAATGTGATGGTAGAGCGCCGCTGAAGTTGGAAAGCACACAGAGTGGACAGGCTGGTCAAATAACTGCGCTGTCTTTTGTGTAGAGTTGCACTAATGGTCAGTTTCAGCCACGCTAGTCCACAGAAGGACAAGGTGCACTTCCCCCCTCTCACTCAGCAATGACAAGTCCACACAAACACTTGCCAAGAGCTAATAAAATGAACCCCAGCTCCAGTACCAGCCGGCCTGGTGATGTTGGTCAGAGATCCTACCTGGCGGTTTTGGATGAGTTCTCCATAATTAAACTCGGCGGAGGAGCGGTCGTCAGGCTCGGGTAGGGACAGGTTGAGCCGCACCGTCACCCTCTTCTCGGCTACAGCCGTGTCCCCATCGCCGGTTTGGCCGAGACGCCCGTTGCTGGCAGCACCCCCTGCCCCGGTCGCTGCCTCGACCTCCCCGGTTTCACCGAAGTTGAAGTCGGCCTCATCCTCCAACCGCCGTTTCCTAGACTCCGCGGCCGCTCCAGCTGCGAAGGCCGAGAGGGTGACAAATTGCACTTTTCTCGGTTCGGCCATTTGGATGAGCTGCCTGCCTGAGCCTCGCTCCGGACAGACAGCGACAGCGAGGAGAAGAGCTACTTCGCGAAACTACTCCAAATTGGAGGGTGGAGGACGGTTTCGCGAAGCCCCGACGGCTGCTCGGTGCCTAGACGGACGTTAGGGCCTCCTCCGCACCATACGCAATGAACTCCAGGGGCTGTGACGGCGGGGGAAAAGTTGTTTCTACGGCAGCTACTTGCATCCTCAATTTGCTATGGGACCGAGACATTCATAGGAGCCATCTTGGGTTTCGGGAGTAAATAAAATATCAGAAGAGAGGGGTCGCTGCGCCTGCGCTTACGCACAAAGCGGAAGCACCGTGGCACAGGGGGTTCGTCACGTCCAATCAACGCGTGCCCCGATCCTAGACCCGCCTCTGTCACAACAGGCGATAATAACAACACTGACAGTACTATAATGACCTTTAAATAGTGTATAAGTGAAGGACAGGCTGTGGTATATAACCTCTCCCCACAAGCTGTGTGATTACAAAAGTATCATATAACAGCTTCATTTCAATAATCACAATCCACAGCTTTCGGTTGAAGCCTTTCTTTCTGTCTATTCAGGAAAATGCTGAATTGTGCATTTTTCTAAAGCACACCCTCAAACATCAAATCCTAAACGGAAGAAAGCAAGCCAGATGGTTGGTTGTCTCGGTTAACCAGCACAAAACAGCCAATTCATTTACAACCACTACTAACCACCTGTTGATTTTCAGTTTATGATACCAACATGTTTCCCTATGACAATAAACTCATTTAAATGTGAAATTGATGCTTTTATTATTTTTTGGACTTCTGTTGCAGAAACCATGAATGGATTAACCAGTTGGAAAGTCCTAGGGCAAAGTTTGGTCTGTAGCCCCTATTAATGCCACACCTAACATATGTGGCCGATCCTTACACATTTGCAATTGAAAGAACTTTTTAGAGAAAAACCAAACACAACTGCAATGTTGTCTGAAAACTATTTGCATCCACATTAGGACAGTTTTGCGGAGACGTCTTTGTCACAATACAACACCCAAACTAAATAAAAGAAATGCTACATCTCCTCTTCCTTGTCATCTTTTCAATGGCTACCAACAAAAGTGCATCAGTGTAGATCTTTCTGGAGCATAATTCACATTGTATTCTCATGTTTTTGCAATTTTGAGCAGCTTCTTCGGCTACCTTGTGCAATGCAGAATAAGAAAAGTGTAATTTAACAACAGCGTTGTTTAGTTTGAGTATTTACTCCTTTTACAATACATTCATTTATTTATATATATTTGCTCTTGAAAATCCTAAAAGTGTATTGTTGTCTTGCACCGGTTCCTTTTCCACCCTTGTTTAACAGTATACAAATTGTTTTATTATTTCCTGTTTATTTTTGATCAGCAAATAGTTTTTTAATTGCTTATTGGTAGAACTTTGTAAAGCAAGTTACTTTAGTGATACAACTCAATCACTGACAAGAACAAAAAAATACATAGTTACATTTTTATTATAAATATACGAGTACATAGAGAATTGCAATTCAAAACTGACATATTTAACAACGTAATGGCAGAGATAATAGTTTTATTTTTGGGCATAAGTATAATTTATACAATAAAACTGCTGATGTCTGCATAATGAAGCTACTCTTGATGTAGCGAGCTGGAGATCAGCTGTCATGAGAGAAGGACTCTGTTGTCTTTGGCCCATTTCCTCAGAGCTCGAATTATATATTCAACCTGGGGGTTTCCTGAATTTCGCAGCAGAGACAACACCTCTTTAAGTGTCTCCCTAGAACACAAACAGGATATGGGAGGAAACAAGATTAGACAAAGAATGCACCATTTCTCGTGTTTCTTTCATTTAGACAACACACCCACTCAAACACAGAGGTTTAATATGTCCGCCCCGATGTTATTGAGTTTTACTGGTTAATGATGACAGCAACCTCTTTGACACATGATGTTTTGCAACGAAAACAAAAAAACATTGTAAAATGTATGAAATATATTGCAGAGGAAAAAGAGACTAACGTACTTAGACTCCTTGTTGGCCAGTATGAGCTGGAAGATGCCGACACATGCGCCTCTCTTGCCCTCCCAGTAGTTGGATTCTGGATCCAGTTTCTCCAGAGCATCAAACGCTTTAGCTGCATAGTAGAACTGGCCCATCTGAAACAATAACCATATTTCCATGAGAAATGCCCATTTTCCTGGCATCAGTTATTTTATTCTGTGTGTGTGTTAAAATGTGACTTGAAATGCATTTGTTATCGCTAATTACTATTTGTTTTAGCAATAATTAATGAATTTACAGGATGCTGTCACCTTGTAGCAGTCGTTGGCAATAAGCTGCAGTAGACTGAAGGAATCGGAGGAAGTGCCCATCTTCAGATAGAGCTCCCAGGCAAGCCGGCCCCTCTGGTTCATGATGTCTGACAAGAACAAGACGAGTTCAATAATCCTTCATTCACAGGCAGATTCTGCAACTTTTATAGATTCAGATTTGGGAGGTATTCGCTGCCTGTGGGAAGGTTTTCATTGATGTGGGTAAAGCCGAGAATGGGAGAAAAACCTTTTAATTTAGATATCCATTTCTTAGAGCTGCTGAGCGTAATGCCAGCTGGGTGCAAAAGTGAACATAAACTTTGTTTTATAAACCCAGGGCTAGAAATCTGTCAGTGATGTTTGATTAGATCTCAGTCTCTGTGAATTAGTATAAAGGCTTCCTCAGTCTAATGTAAGAGTTCTGAGTTCATGATTTGATCTCATCAGGTGTAGATTACTGTAACTGTTTGCATGTCTAACTAAAAAGGCCTCTCCTTTATTCCAAATGAAGATCTGTTCAGAGTTGGAAAAACTGGAAATAGGCTCTGATTTCTGAGGGTTTCTTTCTCAACTCCTCCTCTGACATAAAATGTAAATGTATTTATGTTTTCCTTTTCTATTTTAAAGTTTAACCATTTTTTACAATTCCTCTTGAAGTTAAGTTGACATACATGAATTGCTAAATAAAGGATTTCTTCCTTGGAGAAAGATTTTGGTAATTAAACATCATACGAATGCTATACGTACAGCATCTAGCCAGCCAGCTGAGGTAAACATAGTCATTCTTGATCTTTTCACTCTGAATCAGCAGAAAAATCTGAAAGAAAAAATCAAATTAATCCAAATATCTTTAAGCAACATATTAGCATTTATATAAGCCTGTAAAAAGCAGTTGTGTAGATGTTTAATGAAGTAAGGTACCTCTTCTGCTTCTTTGTAGTTGCCAAGGGCTGCTTTAGCCTGAGCATAGTTGAAGTTGAACGTATCATCGTTATAGAAATAACCCTGAAAAAACCGAACCACAATTATGCCTACATGAAAAGGCCCACATGTGCACTGTGTCTGTGAAGCACTACTGCTCATCTGAAGTGCCACTTGTCTCCCAGTGTGTGGGAGTCTTTGTAACTCCATCTCACATATTCAAACCACAGCAGAGTATTCTCACTGTGATTATACTGGAATATAAAATAGCACTAACCTTGACTGAGTTGAGATATATGAGGACATCTTCAAACAGTCTTAAGAGGAAGAAGCAGGACGCCATGCACTGTCTGCCAGGAATAGTGTCTGAAAGCGAGAAGTATGTTACACACACACACATCCTCACACAGCTTTCCTTTATAAAGCGCATTTTGATAACATTTATTTTCAATGTACCGCATTCGCTGGCCGAGCCTCCGACCAGCTGGAAGAACTGCTGAGCAAATTTCAGGTGATCCCTCTGAAAGACAAAGCATGAAAACAGAAATGTGTCTCTCTGACTCTCTATTATCACTTTTGTTTGTGTGACTATTTATTTAACAGAAATACTGACTGATCCAATTTCTTGTCCCAAAGCTGCATTGACGACTCCTTTCAGAATGTACTCCTTAGAAGAAAAAAAATATGTATATGTATATATGTATCAATATTCTTCCCTGTAAAAACCTATTAACCATTGTATGCAAAATGGCCAATATTAGCACTGGTTGTAGTTTAACACAGCTACTGTATTTGGAAGATCTGGATTTTCTTATTGAGACCAAAGAATTATATTTGATATCACATTACCACCCAATGTCACATTAAATCATTACCTGAGTTGTGTTGGGAACCAAATCTTGGATGAGGTTGTAGGCTTCCTGCACATCATCTGGAAGTAAAAATATGGAGCCTGTAAGTCCATAAGCTAGGGGAAGTTTTTCTCTGAAATATGACCCCTAAAACCCCTACACAATTAATTAAAGGAAACATTTACTTAAAATGTTTGATAATAAATCTTAAAGTCTAAGGAAGTGAATTATCTTCGGTTTTTGGCTTCTTCTTTTTTTACACCACAGGGATTTTAGTAATTCCTAAACACGGCGAGTATCACATAAAATAGAGTGTTATATATAATTTATATTTGTAGAATATTTAAAAATGATTAAAGCACATTTAGTAGAATTATGAATTTGTGAACTATTGATGAGTATGGGAAAAAATGTCCTTATCTTCATTTCCTCACCTCTTAATTTACAGTTAGTTAGAGATTTGATGAATTTCAATAGGAATTATTTCCGTGTTTAGCTTGTTTCAGAAAACTGTAATGCCATGTCTGCACACCTTGTCTGAGATAGTAGATGACCAGGTTGAGTCTGGCCTCGGGGATCACATCGATCAGAGGAGGCAGCACCTGCAACGCCCCCTCCCCACCACGGAACACCACCTGCAGTTCACAAGGGGGGGGATTCAGAATGTGGAAAAAGCAGCATGTGAGTCACTAATGTGCACACACACACCTGATATTGATGAAACTGATTTGCTCGACTGTCTCAAATTGTAATGATTGTGTGCATTGCTTGAATTGTACTTAACAGACTGTATGTGGTTTGTCTGTGTGTCATGTTTTGCATTTTTGTTTATGTATGTCTGTAAGTTGTTGCTATTGTCGGGACCCCCTTGAAAACGAGATGGTGCATCTCAAGGGGTTTATCCCAATGAACAAACATTCACACACACACACACACACACACACACACACACACACACACACACACACACACACACACACACACACACTTCCTTGGGAGGACATCAGTGAAGGTCCCCACACCCACACACAAACACACATACACACACACACACACACTTGGGGGCGGGCCCACCTGTCATTTTGTATGCATACTAATGTGATTGAAACATTTTTTATTATACACCATAAGGCGCAACAGTGGGGGCTTTTCACACCTGTGAATACACATCAACCCCCTCCTATCGACGGATCTCACACCTACTTGGGATATCACACCTACTTGAGATCTCACACCTCGATCAAAGGGGAGGCGGGACTTAGCTCATTTGCATAATGGGGGAGGTGTGACCTGTCACTTTTTTATGCATACTAATGAGACGAAAGCGGGATGAATATTACTACTTATCTTTAACCGAGCCTTCTCTGGGCCGCTGAAGAAAGGTTCCCCTAAGGCTTCTTTGCGCTGCATGAGAACCCTGGCAGAATTGTGAAAGATCTGCAAATCACAAAAAAAATCATCTAATTTCACCCCCCTCCACCCCTTAATTTCCACTAGAAAGGCTCTGATCCTCTGGAAAGAGTACTCCTCTCCCTTTGCTACCTCAACAATGTCAAAGAATGACTCACTGTCTCTTTGACATTGTTGAGGTAGCAAAGGGAGAGGAGTACTCTTTCCAGAGGATCAGAGCCTTTCTAGTGGAAATTAAGGGGTGGAGGGNCTCACTTGGTGTTGAGGCTTTTTTACACGTTGCTTGACTGCCTGCCCACATATCTGATCTAAACATAGTAACGTGTATTGGGGAAAATAATTATTTAAAGTTAAAAAAAATTATACATTAAAATTTTTTAAAAATTATACATTGAAAGTAGTTATATTCATCCCGCTTTCGTCTCATTAGTATGCATAAAAAAGTGACAGGTCACACCTCC